CATTTCCACCAAAACTAATAAATAATCCTATCCAATTGTTGTGTCTAGTGTCAAAACGGACACAGTTTCTAGGTCCAAATATTACAAAAGTGAACAACAAATGTTACTAATATAAACTCACAGTGTCTGTAATACTATTAAAAACATGATGGTGTTGTTTAAATCCATGACTTATGTCACATGGTGATTCGAATTTTTAAATATTGGTATCTGGGATGGATACAGCAAGCCCATTGAATTACACTATGATTTTGTAAAGTTTTCCTAATTCTAATGAGAAGAGGCTTGGACCTGATACAGAATTTGATACATAATAACATATCCAGTGTTTAAACTAACTATAAAAATCACAAAGTGCCTGAAAGTGAAGCCAAAACACTTTGGTCACTCACTGGTTGTTGGCTGCAGTACAGGTAAACCCAACCCTGTAAATGAATGGGATATAAGCCAAAAACTTTAATGAACTAATAAAAACAAATGACTAATTATTGATGCAAACTCCGGCTCTAAATAACAATCATTAATGCAAGACGACAGCAGCCATTTTGAGACATTTTTTGGCTTCATTTTTTTAATGAAGGCAGAGATTGGTCTTACCATCTTTTTTTTGCTATAATCAATGTGTAATCCAATTGTGTAATGTCACAATGATCTTACTAACTTACAAAATGGTAAAACTGTGTAAAAAAAATTATCATGACCCCCTTAACATTCTTAACTATAAAAAGCTTACGCAATGTATTGTGTCCTATCATCCCAGTAACCAGAATGATGTGGTGTGAAATAGTAATCATACAAATATATAATCAAACATGTATTTGGGAGAAACATGTGGAAGGATTTCACAAAATGTGGACTACAAATCAGGTAATGTTTGCGGAGTACAGTGATAATGAAAAAATGGCATCAGAATATTTGATCGCAAAGCAATAAATCACTGAAGCTCAGTCTTCATACACACACACACACACAACCAGTCTGGAAACAGTAATTGTAATGTACTGAATGAAGCATGTTTTCCTCACAACAGTTGGATTGTTTACATTTTAAATTTGATATAGTACATAAATATTGCATTTTAAAAGGGGGAACATGGCCTATACACGTTGTTTCCCTCCTTTTAAAATACTTTTTTATTTTTCAACAACACATTAAATTTTTCATATTTGACCACATCACGTATTATTTCATTGTATTGCATGATGTCTGATAAAATTAATGCAGTATTGGATTAGCAATACTTCTTTAAACATTAAATAAATATGTATTGAAACATTTGACTATTACATTTTAATCAATAATGATTGATACCAAACTGTGATACCAAGTCAAGCCAAATATTCTAATTTAAAATTAAAACAAATTTAAGAATCTTACAAGAATCAGACACACTTTGCAATGTCATAATTATGAACGCAGACACAAACAATCTTGGCACGGTGGCCAAAAGAAATAATTACATCAAATACTCACTCGTTTGGTGCTTCATAGGACTTCCTTGTGTCATTCCTTGCAACTTATCAACAGTTACTATCGCGTTTATGTTTGAATTTAATATCCATCATTATTTTTCGGGTGGTTCTACGCTACGAAAGCCCAGTGCGTGACATGCGGGGGAAACAGATGTCACTAATTAATAATTTCCCGCGATTTAGTCAATAGCGGCCATTTTGTGCTAATTAAATCTAAATGTGTGAAACAAGGGTGCGAAATTCTTACAGTTGTGGTGACTGGCACTGCACCACTTTTAAATAATTAGGTTCTGTTAATATTAGTGCCATTCTGGGAAATATCTGAAATATTAAGCTTTAACATTTGCATTCACATGGCAAAATTAAATGAGGAACAGGCCTCTTTCATACATGAAAACTGACCGTGGAGACTCAGTAGGCCTATACAAAAGAGAACATTTTCGGAACAGGTCAATACAATTTAGAACATAAAAAAAATCTATTTCTGCTTCGATTTATGAGGTTCATTGATATTATGAGATTTAACATTAATTTACGCAATAATTTTCAAAAAAATAACAATTTAGCTACTTATTTTCATATTGAAATTTTTAATTCATATGTTACAGCATTTATATAGACTACTGTAGCCTACATATAATTTTGTGACTCAATTTTTTTCTAAAACTATATTTACATCAGATGCAATTTGTATCTTTTGTCAGTAGGTTGTCCTGGATGTGATCCTTTTTGCCACTAAGTTGTATTTTAAAACAGTCATCAGTTTACTATTGAATATCTACTAACTATGTGACCACGAGGTGTCCAAACTTTATTCTGGAGGGCCAGTGTCCTGCAGAGTTCCAACACCAATTAAAACACATCTGCTCAAGCAAATAGTGATAATCTTATAGGGTTTGGGCTGGAGCAAACTCTCAGGAGGACAGTGTTTGGACACTTCTGCATAAAGGAACAAATTTAAGCACAACTTCAAGTCAACAAGTTCTTTGAGGCCAGTGGCTACTTTCCATCATGTTTCAAAATATCTTCTTTTATGTTCAACAAAAAAAGGAAATTCAAAGATTTGAAAACACATGAATGTGAATAAATGATGATTCCATTTAGATTTCTGCTATTTTTTACTAACATTTACTTAATGTCATGTAGCAATCAATAAGAAAGTTAATTAGTTTAGTGGTGACCATTTTAGTTAAAAAAAAAATTGAGTTAGCTCTGCGCTGTGTCAAAAGTAAACAAAATATTACACTGGTCTGGGTCTGAATTTTCTGATAAAACAACTTCACATTTAATTCCCCACATTTAATTCACCATGGATTGTTTGTAAGAAAAGGTCTGGTGTAAATACATAAATAGAGCATGCTGTTGTGGAAGATATTTTGAAGAATGTTGGAAATTTGTATTTCTGCTACTATGGATGTTAATGCCTTATGGTTTCCAGCAATCTTTAAAATATCTTATTTTTTGTTGATAAGAAAGTGCCAGGTGCATGTGGAAAGGAGAGAATGCATCCTACAGGTGGTTTATAAAGCCCACTCATCTTTGTGAAGCACACTCAAAATTCTACACGTTGTTGTGAATAAATGTTACTTGTCTGTTGTAAATGAATGATTAAGAAGATATTTTATATTGGATGAATATATTTTAAAGAATGTTGGAATCTGGCAGCCTTTGCATTCCACAGGTGTCCTCTACTATGAAAGTTAATTACTACTAGTTTCCAGCATTCTTAAAAAATATCTTATTTTGCATTCCACAAAACCTTTAAGTAGTAGTACATTTTTATTGTTGAGTGAACTACCACTTATTTTAGAGGACTGTACGGAAAACTAGGTGCCTGCGGCTTAACATGAAACATTGTATATGATTATTTTGTTTTTGATCGATTCGCGCTCAATTCCCTTCACCAACCACAAGAGGGCGACACTCTTCTGAAAGACACTAAAACACAAGCGTCATCAGTGACCTTTGAAAATAATGAAAGACATTCAAGCCTTCAGCTATTGAAAAGGATTATCTTACAAGTAATTAGACAGCACCGTTTGTGATATACAAAGGGAGAAGGAGGAAGAAAAATGAAGCAACTATAAATTTTCAAAACAAATTTGTTGTCGTCATGTGATCGAGTGAATAAACAATCAAGAATAGAGAAAAACGAGGCCATTTATTTGCAGGTTTAGACAACAATTAAAGACTAGACAAGTTTCCTACCAGTGACACTGAAGCGTGTGTAAAACAAATGAAATCACTTAAAAACCCATGCTTAAAGATAAAGGCCTCTTCTTACACAGGTTCATGGGTAAATTCAGATTTTGGCTTCTACAATCTTCAGTCAAGACCACAGGCAGGCACACACTCAGAGAAACAGTGTTTAAATTCCTTAAATCAGTTTGCAGATGTTGGAATCATTAAGACATACATTCAACAATGCAAATTAATAATGTATAAAAATAGTCTAACTTTGACGAAGAACAGTTCAGAATGTTACTTAAACTTGACAGAGATATTTGTTCCTTCTCATGTTCTAGTTTCTAGTTTCACCCCCAAGGCATTTCTACTATACAAGAGTTAAAAAGACTAAGTGTTTGTGGTCAGTACAGAGTAAAGCTGTTAGAAGTAAAGAAAAAAAAACTGAATCTCAAACCGGGGCGACATGTTTAAAGTGCAGGTGAAAAGAACTTCAGGCCATCTCAATAATACAAATAATGCTTGAAAATGTCGTTGTCAAAAACATCCGGTTTGTAATTCACCCTTAATAATATCAACAACAACACAAAATGCATAAAGAAAATCAAGCCAACTTCAAGTTTACATCCCAGCTTCTTTTTAAAGTATCTGCAATTTCAATGTATAATAACGAAGAAACTTGAAAACAAATACATAATTATATACCTAAATTCTGAAATCAGAATTTAGAGTTTATATTTTGAACATTTATATTTATAAACTCAAATATATCAACTCAAAATTCTCAACAACAAAAAAAGATATAAACTTGAAATTGTGAGAGAAAAAAGTTTGAATTCCTTTCATTTAAATTCCGCGGCATTTCAACAACAGTCTTATTATTGCAATTAAAGAAAAAACTATTTTTTTAATCAATTAAAACAGTGTTTCTCAACCATGTTCCTGGAGGACCCCCAGCAGTGCATGTTTTAAATGTCTCCTTTGTCACACCCATCACAGGTCTTTCAGTCTCTGCTAATGAGCTGATGATCTGAATCAGGTGTGTTTGGTTAAGAAAACATGGAAAATGTGCAGGGCTGGTGGTTCTCCAGGAACGTGGTTGAGAAACACTGATTTGAATGATCCAAAAAAACATCTATATTAAAAATCAATTATCATCATTTCATGTAAAAGTATTAAAACCCAAGAATGAAGAAATATTAGAATTATTCAATCTGTGACAATCAGAATACCGAAAAATATGGTCCCTAAATAGTTTAACTTAAGCATTTTTTGATCAAATTAAGTTTTTGTGAACCCAAATACACTATCACCACCTAAGAAAGCACATAAAACATAAGAAAGGTAGTGAACCTTTTCTTTTAAGACACAGATGACAAACAAAACATTACTAAACAATACAGTCACCTAGATGGACCCGTTTCTGCTACAGTACATCATCAATACCAACTCTTCCCGATACAAAAAAACAAACAAAATAGACAGATAAAAAAGTCAATTAAAGCCATTGTCTTGGGACAGTCACATTGTGAAGGGAAAATCCCATTGAGGAGCACTTAATCAGAAGAAATTCACCACACAAAGCCATGTTTCCCGACCCTCATCTGGGAAGCAGCATTCTCTCTATTGCGCACTGCAGATGCTCCCAGTTGCTCCAGCTATACAACAGTAAACACACACATACTAGTGTCCCGAACACATGTAGGCGACTTCGCATCAACGGAGCGGAGAATTTAGCAGCGGTGGAGACGCAAACCAGGATCACGGTGACGATGGCCAGCATGATGTTGATGCATTTTCCCAGCAGGACTTTGGCGTCGGTGCCTTCCAACTGCAAGACCTGCTGCTGCTGTTGCTGGAGCTCTAGTTTACTGACACGCGTCTGACAGACTTCCAAAGCGTCCTGGGGATGGCAGACAAGTCAAGTTGAGCTTTATTGTCATTCGGCAACATGTGTGGACATACAGAAAAATGAAATATTGTGTCTCGCAGGACAACGATGCTACATACTTAATCATAAACATACACAAGACTAGACATAAGAGCTATTTTAAAAAACCTGAGTATAACTAACATATACTATAAGATACTTAACTATACACATAAGACAGGCTATACCAGTACTTTTGCATGAAACTAAACAATGTTGTGCTGGATATTGTGAAAGAGAGGTATTAAATGTTGATTATTGTGCAAAAGAGGTATTTAAGGTTAAAGCAAGCAGTGCAACATGATTGTGGTACATTTATAGTAAACATCGTTTCCCTTATTGTGTTCTTGTAAGATGGAGTTTAAATAAAGTGTCAAGTTGACATTAATTTATTTGTGTAAATACAAAACCCTTTATAATGCTCTAAAAACAAATTAAATGCTCTATTTTTCCTTCCCATTCACAGAGATATGGATACAACAGGTATGTGATGAGTCACCGTTGTTAATGCTGTTATTTGATACTAATTTATCATTAACATTTAACAGATAGAGACAAAAATAGAATGAAAAGCAAAAAATAAAATCTCCCAAACTGCCATCTGTGGCATTATTTTGCAATTAGCGCTGTTATATCTGATATGTCAAATGACACGCAATTATATTTTGGGAGGAGTAATATTTGCATATGTGGTTTTAAAAACCAGGTGCAACAACGTGTCCTGTTTTATCTGGAATGTGTCCTAGTTTGAGCGATTGGATTTATATCCATCTCGAATGCATTTCGGAGGCCATTTACCTGTCTTTTTCATGATCAGAAAGATATTTGACTAGAAAAAATGCATTAAGTTATCAGCTGGCTGGCCAGTTAGTTTACACCAATTCTGGGTTTTAGGTACCATGAAGGTAGCTCAGCTGCTTTATAACTTCCATGGCAACAAAGCGTGATTAAAGTCGAGGTGCCTTAAAGTTAGCTAAAACCAAAGGTTGGTGCAAACTAAACCAAAATTTAACTGGTTATCCAGCTAATCCAGCTTAATCCCAGCAGACACACAACATCATAAGACGTTAATTTTGGGTTAGATTTAGGTCACAGTCATCTAAAGACAATGTTCTTTTAACATATAATAACAACATCAAATGACAAGTTTTTTAGTTGATTTAAGGTTCTGTTGGAAAGTGACCAAAATCCAACATCACGAGCCAAATCCATGAGCCCAAATCTTAAACCAACGTCATATTGATGTCAAATACTGACATTTATTCATCAGGTAAGGCAACCAAAATCCAATGTCTGATAAACATCATATTGGTAACGCCCACACAACATCATGAGGTCAGCCTGACATCAACCTGATCTTTATTTCCAAAAAAAATGCAACATCCCACGACGTTGGGGTTCAAGGTCAACCTGACGTCATGTTAATGTTCCGTGCTTGCTGGGATAGTGCAGGCCCCAGATCAATGAAAATGATGTCAGCACCAGAAGTGCTATTGAACATGCATGTTTGATTATACCTGTATATCTCGAGCTCGTTCATAAGCCTGATAGGCCATCTTCTCCTCGATGCTCGCGAGCTCCTGTTTGAGGTTTGCGGTTTCATTCTGATGGAGCTCTGTCAGGTCGTTCAGCTGGTCTTCTAGATGCTCACACCTTATAAAAACAACAACATCAAAATTTACTTTAAGCCAATGTGCTGTTTTTTTTTTTTTAGTAGGATCTTAGGTAATAGGTTTTAATGTTAATATTGGTTTATACTTTAAATATCTATAAATCAGGATTTGAATGGACTCAAGAGGCAAGAAAAGTATTTGATTGCATTAGAAGCGTTAACATTTCTAGCCAATAGCTGATATGGTGCATTGCGCATGCCTGCTAAGTGAAGTTTTTTAAACTAATTTCAAGAGGGCCATGTGATATGATTAATCGTGGCTGGTCTCTCATCCGCAATCATTGATACAACGATCAGATTAATCCTAGCCTACAATAAATAGCCCATTTTCGCCCTACTTCAAAAATCCCCCATCCACCCCATCTCCCCCTTTTCCTTCTTTACCAATTGGAGCAAGACCTACTTGATCACAGAACCTCTTTTCATGCTAATTGACCAGGCAGGAGCCCTGGGCTCAATTATCTCAGGGTTCTCTCCCGGGACAGCATGCCAAACCTGCTGTCAGTATCAAGCAATATCTAAGAGGGAACTCTTAAAGTTCTATATGTGCCAAAATGAATCCACACTCACGAGACCACCAACAGTAATTATTAACTGACCTGTATCGCTCCTCTTGTAGTGTCTGCGTGATGTTCTCCACTTCACATTTAAACTGGTTCTTGAGTGTCTCGATGTCGTCAGCCAGGAGACTCTGAGCTTCCCTCAACTCCCGGATCTCCTCACAGGCCTCCAGCAGTCGGCTATTGACTTCAGCTTCTCTTGCAGATCCGCTGTGTTGCCCGGTGGTGCCCGATCCAGTCACCTGCCCATTACTTTCCACAGAAACTGACGTCTCGGTGGAACACTCGTCATCACTCGGATATTTAGGTTTCGGGGTCAATGTGGCGCTGCCGCTTAAAATCCGGGCTCCCGCTTCCGCCTGCAACCCAGACCCAGTCTCCATTGAGCTTTTCAGGTGGGCGATGTTGTCAGCGCTGCCGAATTTGTTGCGAATAAGGTTTGCGATTTCCCTGGGCTTGCTAAAGAAGAACGGCGGAGATAAAGAAACTCCAGGGCCGATGGTTTTGACTTTGTCCAAATGTGGATGTCGTCCGCTTCCGGTGACCACAGTTTCTTTGAGGTTGTCGTTGTCTTTGTCTTTTGGCGTTGCGTGTTTGGTGCCGTTGGAGATGTCTGACTCTTTCATCTTGCGCTGATACTGCTCAAGTTTTTTCTGGAGTTGGGAGATGTTGTGGGCAGTTTTTTGGTTCTTCTTCTCGAACACTTGTTTAATACGGCCACTCTGCTGTTTGTCTGCACAGTTGATGAGTTTAAGATATTCAGCCACGTTCTCATCTTGTAGGTTTTGCTCAATTCGCAGCTGTTCTTTTACTTTGAGGATCTTTTGTTGGAGGCTGTCCAGGCCAAATCGTGATCGCGGGCCGTCCCGTACTGTTAGATCTGAATCTAGGTCTAAGCACGTCTCTGAGCCCCCTCTTCGCATGGGCACAGGGATGCTGAGGGTGTTCACATCAACACCTCTCTCCGCCTGAAATCAAACACAGACAGAGGAAAAATCAATAAAGATTTAATCAATAAGATTTTAGCATTTACTAGTTCCGGGCAAATATTTACCATCAGAGTCAAATAATAAAACTCTGCAAGCAATTTTCATGAATTGTAATGCAACGCATTGAGTTGAGGGTAGGAGGACTGAATTTGGTTTACTTTTGCAGTATATTGCTGTCAAATATATGCTTCTGAGTCAAAATGCCCATATTGATGTTTATTCTTTTAAACACTGTTATGTATAAAATGATTGTGAGCAATCTGAAATGCATTATCTGTGCATAAGATCTTAAAGTGAGAGCAGCAGAAAACCCTTTAGGAAACTGTTGAAGGGAACTGAGTATTAGAAATGAGTATGCTGATTTGACTGTTTGGGTTTCAGTCAGTAAAATGAATCAAATCAGCATGGAAAAAAAAGTCTAAAAATCCCCTATTCAGTTTGTGTAGATTATTTTTGAAAGATAAGAAATAGCAAATTAAAAAGATCGTATATATGGTTAGTTAGTAGTGATGTAACGATTCACCGTGAGCTGGTTGAAAATCGATTTAAATATGTGATGATGCAAACCAGTAGAAATGTTGAACAAATTGTGATGCATTTTGAATAGATAGGCGTTGTGTTTACAGGCACAAATTCGCTTTACCTGCACATCAGCGGCAAGCAAGAGGTGGGGCGACAGACTAAAATCACAGCGATAAAGTGCACCAGACAAAACACAAATTGTTTGCAAGTACTGCACACACTGTAGTTACTTACACTAACAGAACAATGAATATGTCACAGATGTTTATAAGCAAAAAAAAAAACTATTAATAAGCCTAACCACATAATATTAATACAAAACAAGTAATATTAATTATTCATCTTCATAATTCTGTTCAACTCCTGTCTCGTCTGGTGAATCGTTACATCCCTAATAGTCAGTGTAGTACCAAGGGTGTAGAATTGGCATGGACGGAGTGTACGTATCCCCAATAATATCCACCAATTACTGAAATGTCCCTACCAAAAATTGAATCCACTTCAAAATTAAATAATGCTCCGTCAGCCATTAGTAACCTACATGTGCACAAAGTCAAGTTTGCTATGAGTTCACTGTATACCAAGGCTGTGTAATTAATCAAAATTTCGATTCGATCAAAGTTAAAATTTTGGCCTCCATGTTTACAATAAACAATAATTGGGATAAAACAGTTCAATTGCGTCACACACCACTCTGAATTTCTCTTTCATACTTCCTTAAAGCCTGACAGTAAAGTCATGTAAATTGACTTTTGCAGTATTGGATGTAAATGTTATTTGTATTATTAAGTGTTTATTTTTTGTTATCAAGTACTTTATTCATTTTTTTAAAGGCGTGAAACAGAATTTGTTCTTTTTAATGCAGCTCTAGGGATGTATGTCCCCACCAATGTGGAGCAAATCTACACCCTTGAGTAATAGTATAACTGCTTTTATTATTTAAAAAACTATTTTGGCTTGTCACTTGCAGGTTTGTTAAAAAGTTTGTTTAGGCCATGTTTTCAATATATTTGATATTACATTGTTGGTTTAAAAAGAGTGGCTTTCCTATTTTAGAAACTGTTATTATTTATTATGAATTAGCTTCTGTTTGGACATTTTAGTTCATTTTATTTTATTGTAAACTCTTTATGTGCATTTTTCTTTTTATTATTAGTAGTAATTCAACATTTTTATTTTTATTTTTTTGCTTTTAATTAAAGCAGGGATGTCCAAACTTTTTCTTATAAAGGGCCAAAAACAACCTTGATTGAGGCTAGTGGGCCAAAAGTGAATATAGTTGCCATTGTATTTTTCTAACTTATTTAATCATATTTACAAATGACTAGAAAAAAAATGCATTATATTAACTAATACAGTATTTTTAAAATCTTATTACAGTAAAAATCTTATTCAGAGATTTATTAGTTTTTTTGCCTTGATTTGTTCACTGATGTCTTCTGCATAGTCCTCTATACGTTGAGTGACAGTATTTACATTTTATAAAACCGGATTCATTTACAACATTTAATTAAAAATGTTTTAATTCAATTTGCTTTTTTTGTAGCTCAGAAATAACGGAAACAAAAACGCTAAGTTTCGTCAAATTAGAAATGACAATCTCTGTGTTAAAGGCAACAAAGAGATTCCTCAACCCTCATCATACTCACTATCCTCAGATGGGATTGTGGGCCAAATCAAAGCATATAATGGGCCAATTTTGGGCCGCGGGCCCTACTTTGGCCATCTCTGATTTAAAGCAACATACAAAAATCTAAATCAAGTAGCATTTTTAATAGACTTTGCAACATCACTCAGAAATGTGTTTTAGATAAATAAAAAGATTTCATACTACACACATGCATACACATACATTTAAATGAAACACCCCTCAATGTTTAACTCAATTTGCCTTTTCTAGTATGTAGTGGTTGCTTCCTTCTCAGTATCTCTTTATTATTCAAATAAATAATCTGTACATGCACAAATGAAGTACTTTATAGGCTTTATTTATGCACCAGAACTATTACAGTATAGGACTTCCAATAAATAGTAACATAATTGAAAATCAGCTGAAGATGTCTAAGGTATTTAATTAAACAGAAAAGCTTCAATAAAGAAGACTGCCAACAGATATAGCAAGGACAAAGACTTGGTCAAAATCCAGAAAATATGCTCATGAATCTACTTTAGCATCCATAAGACTAAAGGAAACATATTTTATAAGAACAGGAAACAAGCCAAGAAGCACATTTTTTCAGTCTCACGTCACATGATGGCATTGGCCTGACCCGAAAACAGGAAAATAACTTTATAAACTGCATAACAATTCAAGATTGCTCCACCACAGTGACCATGGCTGAAGAAAAAGTCTCTATTTCGTAGGCTAGTAGTAAACACAGATTTGGGTCAGCCTTTTTGGGCTGAAATAAGCCGTGGACCGAATGGAGTGTAACTAATGAGATTAAGCCGGTAAATAAAACTCTTGAGAATGTAGAAATGAATGAAGCTGTTTATAAGGTCACTTTATGTACCTGTGCAATGGTCTGACAATAACAAGCCTTCCCTCGAGTCCTGAAGAACATCACATTCATTCAGGCAAACCAAAGAGTCAGTTCATCAAAATATACAGGTCAGGTCAATCCAGCTCAAGTCCATCATTAGACCTGGCATTTTCTAAATGCACACTTTACATACTTTGTCACCCACTGAAACGAAAAACACTGAAGGGAATTGAACCTTCCCATTATAAAATATCCCCAAAAATGTGTATTGTCATTTGAATTTCTTTTGCTAATTTTTAAATTGGTTTGATACTCTGAAACACTTAAGTGTGACAAACATTGGAAATATATACCTCTGTATAATAAATATGAAAACTGTATTTATTTAGTTATTTATTTAATTGTATGTATTAAACTGCATTTATTCAAATAATATTTTAGCCACCAAACATATTTAGATTCAATTAAAATCAAGCAAAATATTGCAAAAACAAATTAAAACCTACAAAACTTTAACAAAATTTGTACTTTTTTTTTTTTTTTTTTGCTTCTCTTGATTTTTTCTCATTTTTAAATGTGTATTCAATATTTTTCCATAGCATATAAATTTGGGCGTACTAGTTTTTGGACTGTTAACGTAAGATATATTTGTTAGATAAGCTCCAGATTTGCCTTCATACGGACTAATTTAATGTATATGCACAAATATAATATTTTAAAGCTTTCTTTTAAAAATATACATTTAAAAGATAGATTTGTGAGCGGTGTACCTATATATGCTGAGCACTGTACAATCATACCACAAACACTTGTTATGAATAAACTTAGTATGGAATTGGTACATGCACATTATTTTAAAAATAAGCACATTGACTATTTTTTTTTGTTAATATCTTAAAAAATCTATAATATTGTTATCGTAACTAAGAAATATAGTATACATTAGTAATAATCTATCATAATTCCTTCAACTGAAATCTATGTGTTTAGATTAATCTATATACAATAAAAGGTCACACTTTGTTTTGATGGTCCATTTGTTGAATTTAGGTTACATTGCATCTACATGCTAACTAATTCTCATTGGATTAGAAGTAGACTGTTAGGTTGGTGTTAGGGTTAGTGTAAGTTGACATGTAGTTGGAAAGTTTCTTATAGCCAGTTAAATATCTGTTGAAATGGACCATAAAAATAAAGTGTTAGAAAATAAAACTGTTCAGAGCTCATCAGTGTCATGTCATCCAATAGGCTTTCTCATCCAAAAATGTATAACTTATAATTTAATATGGATGCTTATTTTGTTTGTTTACATTGCTATATTGTCTGATTTGCTTTAAGTAATTAAAAACATGGCTCCTTACTTCCTGAAAGTGTAGTGATGCTATCTGTTCCCTAAATTAATTTGAAACATATGTTAATTATAAAATGTTTAAATGTCAAATTATTATTATTACAGGGAATTTTTCATTAGTATCACACAACTCTACATATAAGTATGTTAATCACATACCCTTAATTGATTTATTTTTATTTTTAAAAATGTTCCAGTTTGCTGAAGTAAAAAAAAAAATAATACAATTGGTCAAGTTAATTCAAAAATTTATATCTAGCTCAAGGCAGAAATAATAAACTAATATTATCAAGAGTCAAAAGGAATTGACGCTAAAACAAAGTAATTGTTGACAGTAGGTTGATTTTAAATTCTCTACACAAGATGTGAAGATGGTTCATTTTTGTCAGGCCTTACCAAGCGCTTTAATCAGCATCTCGACACATACAAAGCGCACTAACAAGAGCCAGATGGAGGCTGCAATTTCCTAACTTATGAGCCATCAGTACGGCTTTAGAAAAGCTCTTTTCAGTGTTGAATACTTATCATTATCAGCTCTTAGGGGGCGAATTATCAGCGTGTGCTTATATAAAACTTTATTCAGATGCCCAAATGTCAGATATTTGCAATGAAATCAAAATTCC